GGAAGACATACGATACATGATTTATCAGAAAGGTAATGAACACCACTACAAGATGTAGATGCTATAGTATTGATTGTCATCAAAAACAAACAAAACATGAAAATGTATATTTTTGCCATCGAATGAAATACAGTTTTTCATTTAGATTATATAATTGGTTTGTTATTCATGTGTTTTCTATAAAAAACACAAACAACATTTGTATATATTGTAGACATATTTAATAATAAAACTGTCGTGTTTAATTTAACGAAAACATAAATTAAATTTTTATTTGCATCTCATTTTTAAGAAATAGTGTGTTAATTGTTGATTTGTGCGTTTTTACATAAACTACAATTAATTATTGAATTTAACCATAATATAAAAAATGAATGGATACTTTATTATGATAACTTGTAAAAATTTTAAATTTTAAAGAACACTATTTTTATTAAAATTATTGGGTTTATTTTGAAAGAGAATATGTTTTAATAAATATACTTAATAATTTAAACAAAATTTGTATTTGTGTAATATCTAATTAATTATATTTCGGTATTACTACAAAATATTTTTAAAAAATAAAATTGACATGATTCTGTTATTTATTTTTAATGAAAATAAAATGTTATTGGGTATAAAATAACAAATAAACTTTACATTCTTATTTTTGTAAAAAATAAACAATAAATTTAAACAAAAAATTATTTTAATGTTAAATATTAAAATAAAAATTGATTAATTGTCAACAAGTTGATAAACAACTATTCTTTTTGGTGTAAACTTATTGCCATCGATTAAATCACCTTCACTTGTTGCAAATTTGTATTGGTGACAATGATTTTTATCTACTCCCTTTTTATAAACACCGATGTCATAGTCATCGATGTGATTTAACCCAAACGCAAACAGTCTATTAGAAGAATCATTATGTGAATATAGATTAAACGTATCACATTTTTGTTTCACGTTGAATATTTTTGTATTAAAAATTCCATTTCTCTTCAACGAAAAGACGAACGTTTTGTCATCGATTTTATCAAAAAACACACCTCCAAACTTGTTGTTCTTTGTATCTTCAATTAAAAAACACAAATTACTTTTGTTGATAATTTTAGAGTCAAACACGGAAGTGTCATTTGACCAGTCATTTACGTCACTATTAAACACAACACTTGATATCTTCTTATTCAAAAGATTTTCTAATCGATCTTGTTCTTCAAGAGATATTAAAAAGGGCGTATCTGCGTTTTCTGCGTACTTTCTATACATCTCACAATTTTTGATTTGCTCGATTTTAAGCATTTTTTCAGAATTGAGAAGTTCGAGTTGTTCTTCAAGTGGTTTAATTTTTATTTTTTATTGTTCTTCAATTATTGAAATTTGTATATTAATAACATCCTGCGCTATTTTAAATTCATTTTGCTTTGAAACTTCATTAAAATCATTTTTCATTTGGTTTGTTATTACATCAAGTTCTTTTAAAACGTCGGCAAATGACTGAATTACAACTTTTCTTTTTAAATAAGTTTCTTCAATTTTATCATAAAATCCTTCAGCGTCAGTAAGTCTTTGAGATAATGAGTGTGACTTGTTGTCAATGAAAGTTGTTTTTATAACTACATCATTTAATATTGTGTATTCGTTCTACAATTTGTCAGAAAGAGTTTTTAATTGTGTAAAATGATGATCCATTTATATTTATTAATATTCAGTTCATTTAAGTTTTTCAAATTTAATGAAATTTCATAATAGTTTATTTAATTTAATTTAATTTACAGGTCATGCGAAAAAG